TGTGAGCAGAAATGTGCAGGCGTAGCCAGCTACACCAGACTCGTATTGGACAGAAGAGAAAGGAGAGAGTGAGGAAACTAGAAATAAGGGTGGGGAGGCAACGAACACACAGGGATCATCCCCGGTGGTGTTTGGGATCCAGCCACAGCTGGTAGAACTGGTGATGTCATCGGCTCCTCCCCGCTGGTGTAGTCTGGATACCTTTCAGGATAAGGATGAAGGCCTTCCTGTAGAGCAGGGGTGGGGAACATTTTTGGGATCGGGGGCCACTGCCCCACAGAAAAATCAATGGGAGGCCACAAATGAGTGAGTGGCCCCCAAGGGTGCGTCTACACTGCAGGGCTTAACTCAAAATAAGCTACACAAATTGTTAAGAACATAAGAACGGCCATACTGGGTCAGACCAAAGCCACTATCCTGTCTGCCAACAGTGGCCAATACCAGATGCCCCAGAGGGCAGGGACACAATTGGTAATCCTCATATGATTCCCCTCTCCCCTCCCCCGTCACCCACCTCCAGAGAAACAGAGGCTAGGGATACCATTCCTACCCATCCTGGCTAATAGCCATTGATGGACCTAACCTCCATGAACCTATCTAGCTCCCCTTTGAACTCCGTCAAATTCCTCTGGCAAGGAGTTCCACAGATTGACTGTGCGCTGAATGAAGAAAAACTTCCTTCTGCTTGTTTTAAACCTACTGCCTAATAATTTTATTTGGTGACCCCTAGTTCTTATATTGTAGGAATATGTAAATAATTTTCCCTTATTCGCATTTTCCACACTGGTCATGATTTTATGGACCTCTATCATATCCCCCCCTGAGTATCCTCTTTTCTAAACTGAAAAGTCCAAGCCTTTTTAATCTTTCTTCATATGGAACCCATTCCAAACCCCTAATCATTTTTGTTGCCCTTTTCTAACCCTTTTCCAATGCCAGTATATCTTTTTTGAGATACGTTAATTGCATATCTTATTTCGAAAAAGGGAGCGTCTGCACAGCACTTATTTTGAAATAGAGCACTCTTCTTCCGACTTCCCTTATTCCTCGTACAATGAGGGTTACAGGAGTCGGAGTAAGAAGTCCTCCAGCTTAACAGTATTTTGGCACTATTTCGAAATAACTGCCTGCTGTGTAAGACGCAGACTAAATTATTTCGGAATAGTGCTAGTTATTTCAAAATAGGGTTGCAGTGTAGACGTACCCTGAGAGAGGAAAAAGACACTCCCCACATTCCCCTCACACACCAAAGCCTAAGGGGGCCCAGGCTAGTAGATTCTGTGGGCGCCAGCCTCGTGGGCAGCGGGGGAGGGGGAAGGGGAGCACCAGCATGGGCTCCCCAGTGCTGAAGGGGAGTCCTGAGCATTGGGGGCCAGATCCAGGCAAGCCGGGGGGCCACATCTGGCCCCTGTTCCCTTAGGTTCCCTACCCCTACTGAAGGCATCCACAATGGTGAAGCTCACACTAGTAACCTATTTTTCTCCTAAAGTCTATTTCTGTAAGGACCCCAACAGGTAGAATAGCTCATTCCCCCTCATGGTTTTGTCTGCCATTTAGGCCTAGTTTCCGATACGCCAGTGGGGTACACTTGTTCCCAGTCCCACACTTTCCTGGTTTGCCAGGCGTGAACTTAGCATAGCCCTTGAGTTACAGCAATGCCTTTTTGCTTGCTCCGATTGTCTTTCAGACCCCCTTTTCCCTTCAGCATTTGTCCCAGGTTACTGTGACATCACAGGAACCTCCACATGCTTTTACAGTTGAACTCACTATTATTGTAAAGTTGCAGACCCCCTGCTCATTCCAGGACATGGAGACAGAAATGTGGCAAATTTTTTACCTCGCTCAGTCTCTCCTGCTTGTGGGAGGATCCCAAGGCAGTAGAAATGGTGCCACAGGGGATCAATTTACTCCGTCCATGCAGCAGAGAACCAATGAACCGAACTATAAACCTTGTGTATGATGGAACTACGGTATACTAGGAGTTTCTGCCGCATCCCTTGCATCCCTTGGTTCAAGACGTGAGGCAAAAAGCCACCTGTACTCTGCCTCTTCTCACGTGCCCTGAGTGGAGCCCCTTGATGTGCACTGAACGTAGCACTGGGCTACTGCAGCACAAACCTCACAGCCATTGAAACCTCTTTCTCTGGGGAATTTGATGCCACAGCGACAGCCTTGCAGAGCTAAGTCCTCTGCTGATCCATGGAAGAAGCATAGCCCAGAAAGAGGCAGGGTGGGCTTCTCTCATGCTGCTTCTGCAGTGTGTCATGCCTTGCCAGGGCCTCCTGATGCAGTGAGAGCAAGAGTTCGCTTAGTCTGGGCTCCGTGCTCCCAGGCAGTGCTCCCGGTCAGCTGAGCGCTTGGGTGGCTGCCCAGAAGAGATTCAAAATGCCATTCAGCTGATTAGCACAGTGCCCACAGTTGCTAGCATGTGTTTCTATTAGTGGTGCCCATCTTCACATGCCTCGGTGCACATAACAAAATGTATTTTGCACATGGATGGAAAAAAATTAGAGGGAACATTGCTCCTAAGTGTGGCAATGATTGTGAGATACAAACATCTGCCCACTCACAACAGGAGACCCGTGAGTTCATCACACTTTAGGCCTCCAAGCGGAAATCAAATACAATTCTACAGGACTTTGCTCACTACGCTGCCCAGCAAGGGTCAAATAGTCAGCTCAGCAGTTAAAGGAAACAACATGGGAAGCTAGCCTTCTGTGGCACACACAGGCCTGTGGGCTTGTTTTATTTAAACAAAAAAGTTCATGCACTCAATAAATCAGGAGTCATTTGTCAGGTGTAGCTGAGAACACAATTTGTCCCTGTGTCTTTACCTGGGCCAAGAATATGGCTTAAAGAGATAATTAATGGCCCCTCGTTGACACATATGGGTGTATGAGATCTAAATAGCAGCAGATAAGTTGGCATGGAATATAGTGTTTAGGTTGGTTGGTTAAGAACACAGATCATCTCTTCCTATGTGTTTGCGAAGCGCCTGGCACAGTAGGGACTCCAGTCCTTGGCTCCTGCAGTGCAAACAGAGTTATGCTAATAATAATAACACTCCGCCATCTTAAGAAATCTATAAAATGATAGGAAAGGAGAGTTGCCCACCAGAACGTGACATGCCCAGTTAATGAGACCCAAGCCTTGAGGTTGTTCTTAAAGCCCCAGTTTCCAGTGCCTTATGATTACATCCAAATCTCAGCTTTCAGGTTCATTAAAAACTAGCTCCGGTGATTGCAGAGGAACGTTTGACCTCACAAACCCCGGAAGTTCAGAAGGCAAATAAAGAGATTCCAGCTTGTTGGGGGAGGGAGTTAAAATCTCATGATTTTAAGGCCAATGTCCTGGATCCCTTTAGGGGAAGGGGAAGTAATAAGTGGACTATAGGCTGGACACAGTTCGCTAAGGTTAGCCCCTGAGGGGCCACCAGATGTCTCTGCAGGTGGAGCCACTCGCAGCTCCCATTGGCAGAGAACAGCGGACGCTCAAGTAAGTAAAGTGTCTAGTGGCCCACCAGGAGCTAACCACATCTGGCCCGTGGGCCACTTACTGCCCACCCTTGCTGAGGGGCCTGACAGGTGATTTTTGAACACGTTAGTTTGGCAATACTCATGCTCCCCTCCCCCAAGCTCAGTAACATGGCAGAGGAGGGCGGGAGGCAGTTGCCCCCCGGAGCCACACAAGGGGGCACCAATTTAGCTTCCGGGCCACTTGCTCCCTGCAGACAAGCCGCTGAAGCAGGACCGGGCAGCAAGGCCTGCCCGGGAGCCTAGCGCCCCTGGCTCAGGAGATGCTGCCACCCCCGCTGCGCAGTTCAGCACAGTTTTGACTTTGTCCCTCCCCCGTTCCCCTCACCGCTCCCGGGTGCATAACACCCCGCTACACCACTGCCCCAGCTATGGTGAGGTGTCACCAGCGTTACAGGGAAAAACATGAATAACCAAGAAAAGATTATCTGGTCTCAGCGCTTTTTGCCTGATAACCGGTTGTTGACCCCTAGGAGCTGACATTAGAAATGAAAATAAAAGGAAAAACAAAGAGCACTTCAGCCATCCAGTCATTAGCCAAAAGTGCTTGTTTTCACTCCCAGTCACCCTTAAGTTGCAATTTTTTTTGACATTGTTGAGTCACTCCTGTGTGTGGGTGGATTCCAGTGCAGTAGAAACGATGCCCTGGGGGGTCAGAATTTACTCCATCCCAGCAGCAGAGGATCCTAGTCAGTCAGCACTCTGAGGGGCATGGGGCATGGAGAGGGCTGGGGCAGGACCGGAAGACACAGGGTGACCTCAGTCCCCCAATTCTCTCCTCCTAAAGGCTGACCAGCCTATGAACTAGAGCAGTGGTCCCCAACCTTTCGTGGCTGCCGGGCGCCCAGGGACGGGGCCACTCATGTGCCGCGCTTCTGGCGGTGGGGCCACGCATGCGCCACGCGCCCTGAGCCCAGGACCGGCACCATGCATGTGCCGCGTGCCCGAGGCAAGAGCCGCCCACGCACCCTGCACCCATGGCCGGCACCATGCATGTGCTGCACGCCTGGGGCAGGGGCCATGCCCGGGGGCGGGGCCAGCCCAGATGTTTCGGCAGGCGCCATGGCGCCCGCGGGCACCGCGTTGTGGACCACTGAACTGGAGTCACTTCCATGGAATGCCACCAGCCTATACTCAAGGGTAAGGTTCCTTTTTCCCCCCTCCCACACATCTGCCTCATGCCCAGCCCAGCCCAGCCAAGCCACTTCGGATCAATGGCTCCAGTTGTGGAGGAACAGGGAAGCTGGGGAATATCTCCCCCCTCCCCACCCCAGCCCACCCCACTCCATCCCACACAGGCGTTTGCTCTTGCTCAAAGCTCCCCAGGCTGCAGAGCTGCTGGGCGGGCCTGGCCGTACCACAATGGTGTTGTGACCTGGCCCACAGTGAATTTGCCCCTCTATGACATCAGCAGCATGCAGGGGAGTCCCCTAAGAACTTTACTCCTGGCTGTACCAGTGCACCTACGGCAGGAGTAAGGGAAGACTCCCCTGCCGAGGAGGCCCAGGCTTGCTGCAAGGGGAGGGCAAGCAAGGACTGGCATGGGGACCCTGCCAGCATCTGACAGGATCTAGAATTTAATCCCCACCACTCCCAGTAAATATCTGCTTTGTCCCCACTGCTCAGAATGGGCTAGTAGTTCTAAGCAAAATGGGCATTCATAGGGGCAGGCGTTGCCTTTCCCAACCACCAGCCTGGACCCACCCATACTCCCCCCCAAAATGTTGCTTCCCCCACGTGCCCGCCCTCCCCATGCTCTGGGGTTAGGGAGGCTGGGACTGTACACCCTTCTCCATCCCCAGGGTGGCGGAAGGAGGTTGGATCCACACACTGTTCCACCTCCCTGTGGTGTCAGGAGGAGGAGTGGCTTGGTTCCCATAAGGATGGGGCCTGGGCAGGCGGGGCGGGGCTTGGGGCTTGCCTCCCTAGCCCTATCTTCACCCACCACCCATGGGCATTCATTGTTGAGAATGGAATCTTTCTCTTCCCTGATCGTTTCCTCTCTTCCATTTGAGAGAGACTAGTCCAGGTGCTGACGTTGAGGCTGTTCATCTCTGAGTCCACCCAGCTGGAGCCTAGCTCTGTCCATGCACGTATGTTGTTTCTCTTCTACCCACTTCCCTCTCTTTCCACTCTCCGTCTCACCCATTGCAAGAATCTGTTTATAGATGTAAACTAAACTTCTTGGAATCTCTCCTCCTAGCGTCTGAGATGACTCACTGTCAGTAGAATGAATAGAAATGTCATAACATCCCACCCGCAATTGCCTTACGACCAGATTGCTTTTGGCAATTTTTGTAAGTGCATGCTCCCCTAAGGTGCATATTTATTCAACTGCTGTATTAGTTCATCCTCCAAACTGAGAGCACTAGTGGCCTTTGGGTGCAATTTTAGAAACCGCTGTCCGGACCACAGTAAACTGCTGGGCTACGTCTAGACTGGCATGAGTTTCCGGAAATGCTTTTAACGGAAAAGTTTTCCGTTAAAAGCATTTTTGGAACAGAGTGTCTAAATTGGCACGGATGCTTTTCTGCAAATGCACTTTTTGCAGAAAAGCGTCCGTGCCAATCTAGACGCGCTTTTCCGCAAAAAAGCCCCGATCGCCATTTTCGCAATCAGAGCTTTTTTGCGCAAAACAAATCTCAGCTGTCTACACTGGCCCTTTTGCACAAAAGCTTTGCACAAAAGGGACTTTTGCCCGAACGGGAGCAGAATAGAATTTCCACAAGAAGCACTGATTTCTTACAGTAGGAAGTCAGTGCTTTTGTGGAAATTCAAGCGGACAGTGTAGACAGCTGGCAAGTTTTTCCAGAAAAGCGGCTGATTTTCCGGAAAAACTGGCCAGTCTAGACACAGCCGTATTGTAAAGTCTCCGAGGATCAGTATCGTTATGGTCCCCTTCTCTCCCTGCCTAGATGTAGGTGTGACAGGTTCAATCACCAAGGTCCCCTGATGGGCTAGAAGCTCTGGTTTCCCCCAGCACAATTTGAGGCAACATCGCTTCCAAGTTCTGTTGCTTTAAATTCTACGTTTGAGCCACCTTCTGAACACACCACACACACGTGGGAAGAAACAGCCCTCAATCTCAAAGTTCACACCAACAAAAATCCGAAGGTAAATCATGCTGTTTAGGGAGCTTTCTGTGCAAACTCATCAATCGACATAGGGTCCTTTGAAACTCCTCCAAGATGGCTGAAAGGCTACCGAAAAATACCAGATTCTTTCCTAGCTTGTAACAAAACACTTTGCTTTTATTATGAAGCTTTCATACAGCTCTGGTGTCTTCCCAAACCAAATATCTGCTTCAAGAAGTGATTCAATAGGTGGCTTTCCAATGCTTGAGCATATGACCGAGATTTGTGGATGAACTAGTTCCTCTGAAATTTCTGAGGCAGGTGTATTTTTTTCTACAGATCCTCACAAGGAATAAGCTGATGTTGTTCCACTGTGGTCAGAGAAACAAGGATGTAACACCAGCGGAGGGACTGGCCTTCATCATTTAAATGACTCTCAGTTGAATTAGTTTAATTATAATCATTTTTAGAGCTGAAAATGAACCACTCTCTAAAGAGTTAAATATAAAGATAAGTACAAAAGGTATCTTGGCCTTGGAAAATGTTCCACAAAGGGCAACAAAAACGATGAGGGGTTTGGAACAGATGCCATATGAGAAGATATTTAAAAGACTGCGGCTTTTCAGCTTAAAAAAGAGGAGACTGAAGGGGAGATAGGATAGAGGTCTATAAAATCATGACCGGTGTGGAGAAAGTGAATAAGGAAAAATTATTTACTTGATCCCATAACACAAGCAATAGGAGTCGCCAAATGAAATGAATAGGTAGCAGGTTTAAAACAAACCAAAGAAAGTATTTCTTCATGCAGCACACAGTCAACCTGTGGAACTCCTTGCCAGAGGAGGTTGTGAGGACCAGGATTTTAACAAGGCTCCAAAAAGAGCTAGATAAATTCATGGCAATTAGTCAAGATGGTTAGGGATGGTGTCCCTAGCCGCTGTTTGTCCGAAACTGGAAATGGGTGACAGGGGAGGGATCGCTCGATGATTGTCCCCTGTTCTGTTTATTCCCTCCGGTGGCACCTGGCATTGGCCACTGTTGGCAGACGGGATACGGGGATAGCTGGACATTTGGTCTGACCCAATGTGATCATTCTTATGTTCTTATCTATAGTAGCTAAAGCTCTATTGAAATCAGTGGGCATTAACTAAAAGACATATGTACTGCACCACACATCCTCCTAACTGAACAAAAAGCTTGAGTGGACTTCCAAATGTACTTTCATCTACATCAGTGGTGGGCAAACTGTGTGGCCTACAGACTACATGTGGCCCATCGGAGTACTGTGTGTGGCCCACAAGACATTTTGTTTACTGTTGCCCACACGCAGGGTTGCCAGATCCCGCTGGTTTCAGTCTGCATTGCTTTTCTTACCAGTGTTACTAAAGTGACACACAAGAAGTGAGATGGGTGGTGATTGCAGACAACATTGGCTGAGAGAGCCATGCTCTCCCTCTGCACCCAGTCACTGCGCTGCTCAATCAGCACATCCTACAAATTTTGGGTACGCAAGCAGTTAGCAAAACTACCCTATCCCGGGAGACGGTCCCATGACAGCCATCTTGCCGCTCACTGAGATGGAGGGCCACTCATGAGGCCTACCCACTAGCCTGGGTGACCCATCGCTGATTTACATGGATGTTTTCTATCCATGTATCTGTCTATCACCATACCAGTGCGGTACCAAATACATCAATCACAGAAGGATCAGTAGCAGCCTGATGATGAACTGAGTTCCTCTCATGGGCCTACTTTGCTTTCTCAACACCCTACTGCTGAGTCCTTAAAAATAGCTCATTCTTCCACAGGGCAGTTTTGAACCTGGGACGTCAGTGTAGACACCTCTATCCTTTGAGCGGAAAGCCAGCTGGTTCTGAAGCCATGCTGTAGAGGTTGTCTTGTTCTCATCTGTTGCTAAGTGCCACTGCATGGGACAGTGAACCACACTAGGGCTATGTGTATGCTCGTGGCTTCTTGCACGAGTAATATGCAAATGAGGCTAAGTGTGGAATATCGCCGAGCCTCATTTGCATACCTAATGAGCCACCTTTTTTTTCAGAAGAGGCTCTTGCGCAAGAAGGAGTGTCTACACTGCCCCTTCTTGCGCAAGAAAAACCCTCTTGCGCAATGCTGTTCTTCCTGAAAAGTAATAGGTGTAACGGCATTTATGTGGATGACTTAAAAAGTCACTTTTGTTGCTTTGCTGGGCAGTAACTGCACCATTCAGTGTTTGAGCACAGTGAAACTGCAGGCTCCACAAGAGTGCTCATAAGCTACATCCTTTGGTTCCTATGGGCAGGCTTTATTACAGACAGATTTCTCCTAGGTTTATCTTAAAAGGCTGGCAGGGTCATCCTTAGTCATATGCAGAACATGCATCTGCGTAGGGACCTGCAAATTTGGGGCACCGCTGGGTCTTAATGCCCACCCTCTGCCTCTTTCTATGCCTGTTCTGGAGCTCTGCTTATTCCAGAGAGGATCAAGTTCAGTGTTTCTCAACCAGTGGTACGAGTACCCTTAAGAGTACTCGAGAGAAGTCTGGGGGGGAGGGGTGTCCATCAACACAACTGAAATTTGGAGAAAACTGAATTTTTGTTTTAAGTTTTACAGCATTTTATTATTTTTGTACTTTTTGCACCCAAAATTTTCATTGCCCTCCTGCCTACAATTTATTTGTTTAAACAATTACGTTGCAATGGTAGAAAAAGAATTGTGTGTCTGAACACTGTAGGTACGGAGGGTACTTATAATTTTTTTAAAGGGGTACTTTATTAAAAGAAACACTGGTCTAAAACTGTTAAAAATGACACAGCCTGCCAGAGCTATTAGCAGAACACTGCACCTGTGAATGAGCCATTCAAGTGGTAATGACGCCCTTGGACAGGGATTTACCAACCCCAGACATATCCTGTCTGTTTCTGAATTGACTGTGTGAGTCTACAGGACCTTAGTTTAAAAATTTGCTTTAAAGCAATTTCATTGGTGGGTTGTTGACTGTTAAAAATGACACAGCCTGCCAGAGCTATTAGCAGAACACTGCACCTGTGAATGAGCCATTCAAGTGGTAATGACGCCCTTGGACAGGGATTTACCAACCCCAGACATATCCTGTCTGTTTCTGAATTGACTGTGTGAGTCTACAGGACCTTAGTTTAAAAATTTGCTTTAAAGCAATTTCATTGGTGGGTTGTTGACGATGATAAAATCATGGACACCAGTTTAATAGTACTGCGTACAGCCCTGTAAATTCTAAGGGTGGCCCTGCTAAGAGGAATCTGTCCCCCTTCCCTCCCCCCCTGACTTTTATTTCCCCTCTGTCTCTATCCATCACTATCCTGTGCGATGCGGGAAGGGTTTGACTGACCTCTCCAGAAAGGCAGCAGCAAAGTATTTGTTTCTTGCAAAGGGCCCACGCACATCGCACATCGGTGTGGTTGTGTTTCCTTCCCTGTGAGGGAAGGGGGGGGGGCCTGAAGAGGGGATGCCAAGTGCAGAGGGGTTTATTGCACAATGTCAGGATCACATCAACGGTCAGAGAGGGCAGCAGCGGCGGAGGGGCGGGGGGAGACATGCAGTTGGATAGAGTTGCGGCCCAGGGTCTTTTTATACTTTTAGAGAAGTTGGGCTCATCCCAAGTTCCTCTCCTACAGATTGTTCCTGTTGTTGCTGCGTTCCAATCCCACAGACCATGTGACTGCCCACAGCAGTGTCTCAGCATGACCTGGGCTCAGCTCTGTCTGGCTCACCTAGCCGCTCCCCGCCGCCCTCTCCCCTCCGCTTGGTAACACCGATCCCGCCGCTGCTGCTCTGCTTCCATGTTGCTGGCTCCAGCCTGCCTCAGGCTTTGGGTTTGCTGCTTTTGCTTTGCCCCCAGTTCCCCTGCAGGACGTTTTGGAATATTTTCCTTTTTGTAAGTCACCCCTTTTGGGGCTTTCTGCCCTTTTGGGTCTTGAAGATGCAAAGTGATCGAAGGGGACTTTTTACGCGCATGCTGCACCCTTGTGCGAACCAGAGGAGCTGAATTTTCTCTGTCATCCTCATATTCCTTAATCCAGGGGTGGGGAACCTAAAGCCAGGGCCCAAGCATGCCTGGATCCAGCCCACGAGGCTCAGGGCTCTCCTCCACCCAGCAGTGGGAAACCCGCACTGGTGCTCTAGCCTCTCCCTCTGTATCCCCCCTCAGGGCTGGCGCACACAAAATCTACTAGCCCAGGCCCCCCTGGGCTCTGGTGTCTGAGGGGAATGGAGGGAGTGTCTTTCTGCTTCTCAGACAGGGGTCAGTGAGAGCTAGTTGGTTTGTTTGTTTGTTTTTCGTTTCGTTTTGTTCTGTTTGGGGGGATTTTCCTTCTCACTTTTGTGCTCCCCGGCTGATTTTTCTGTGCGTCAGCGGCCCCTGACCCAAAAAAGGTTCCCCACCCCTGCTTTCATCAAACTTGGCTTTATGAAAAGGCTGGGTGTCTTCATTTTTAAATGCATTAGTTCAGTGGTCCCCAACGTTGCGTGGCTGCCGGGCGCCTGGGGGCAGAGCCACTCACGTGCCGGGCACCCAGGGGCGGGGCCACGCATGCGCCGTGCACCCGGGGGCGGGGCCACCCATACACTGTGCACCCAGGGGCTGGCACTGCCCATGCACCACGTGCCCAGGGATGGGGCTGGCCCCGAACACTCGGCAAGTGCACAGAAATGGCCTGGCGGGCACCATGGCGCCCGTGGGCACCACGTTGGGGACCACTGGGCTAAAGCAATGCACCTCTACAGCATGAGATCAAAGTCAACTGGCTCTGCAAGTGGTCTCAGTGCCACTAGATGAGACAATATCGCACACTCAGAAGGTGTGTGGGTTACATATGGCACCCGCGGGCACCACTGGGGACCACTGCATTAGTTAATGCCTATGACCAAGGCTCGACAAACCGCGGCGAAAACCACTTGCCAGCCCCACACTGAGCATGCACGAGACCTGCACTGCGCATGCACAAACCGCCGGTGAACGGGGCGACCGGCTAAAATCTACTCGTCACGGGCAAGTAGATAAGCGGATTTGTCGAGCCCTGCCCATTACACCTGCTGGCGTGTTGGGCAGTGACGAAGGCGTCTCCATTTTTGTCTGTCTTTGGCCATTTTCTCCAATATGTCCCAGTTGTAATTCATTCTCTTCATGTCTGCCTCAACAGTACGCCGCCATGTTGTCTTGGGCCTCCCAATGCATTAGATTTGCAAAATCATGTTGCTATGGAATCCGCAGGCCTTGGAGTTAGGAGGACAGACACTGGTCTCATTGCGTGCAGTGAGGCAAAGTCTGGGTTTCATTGCATGCCCTAAGGGACATAAATAGAGTCCCTCTGGAGTAATCCTGGCATGAGGGAGATTACAGCTTAGCCACAGGAGTCTCTGGGGACAAGAGTTATTTCAAAAAAAGCAGCAACACCGTGTTTTAAAATGACAATTAAAAAGTAAACTACTCAGTCAGTGCATTGCCAATGAGCTATATAAAGATAAAGTGTAGCAAGAACTTTGATGAAACAG